AGATAGATAGATAGATAGATAGATAGATAGATAGATAGATAGATAGATAGATAGATAGATAGATGGTGGGTGGGTGGATGGACGGATGGACAGACACATGCATGCATGCCTGGGTACATAGATGGATACATGGATGAATGGATGGATGGACAACAGGTCTGTTTCTTCCGGGACGAGTCACAGAAGGAAAGCATGGCCCTCTGATCCATGCTGTGGCCCTAGAAGCTTTGGACAACCTAGAGACAAGCTAGCTCTCCCAGCACGGCTCCCTAAGACATGGTTTACTAAGCTTCACTCTAAGCATCACCTCGTGACCTGCAGAGCTGGGGGGGTAGAATGCTCCAACAATCTGATCCCCACTGCCTCTAACTCAAAGTAGTTATCCATGTTTGGCTTCCTGGCTAGTGGTCAGAGCCCACTGGTTATCTCCTCAGAGAGAAGTCAGCTGTTGTTAGAAAGCCCACCTACTGGAACATTGCCTCTAGCTTTGACCATCCCTGTTTGATGAATGCATCTGAATAGCTCAGAGTTAAGTAGTTCCTGTTTCCTCACACTGTACCTTGCTGATTGTTCAAAAGATAGGTCCTGAGTGATTTCCTAGCAGGTGCCACTAACCTCCAAGTTACAGTTGGATACACATGTTTCTGCTACAACATTAGAATCTTTTCAAGTGTTGTGGCAAGCAGCTAGAAGGAAGGGGCCGAATGTTCCCTTCTGAGCTGCAAAGTACTACTAGCTCTGCAAGAAGTCCTGCCTGCAGGATCTGTTTACAATGCTTCAGAGCTCTGGATGGCTCCAGAGGACTTTTCAGAATCAGCCAGACCCCACACAAACCTCTGCTGAGTGGGTTCAGGTGTTCCTGCAGCCAGTGCTTGCCAGCTCCACATGGAGATGCAGCGGGCGTAGCAGGAGCTGCTCACAGTAGGGGAGAAGTGAGGCCCCTTAGGGATGAAGGAAGCTGTCTAGGCTGGGAGCAGGGATGGACTAGAGAGGACAGGAATGGACAGAGACACCCTTCCCTTTTCTTTTTGACATTGCTGTTGGGGCTGACCAACACAGAATGTCTTAATTACTTACACAGAGCCTGCCAGAGAGTGAGGGTAACAGAAGAGGAGGTGTTCTTTTCTATCCACGGGAGTTGCTGAGTGGAGAATCCTTGCTTCCTCTCCACCCTGTCCTCCCTCATCTTTGCCCTTCCTCCAGCTCAAGAAAGTAAAAAATACCTGCTCTTTGGGATAAAGAGCCAGGAGAAATTGCCTTGTCTCACTGTGTGCTCCAGTCTTCCATGTGCAGCCAGGAGCAGCAGCAGCATGAGCTTTCCTGAATGATGTGCAGAGCAGAGACAACCACATGGAAGCCCAAGCAAGGGCTGGTGTCACTGAGGCCACGCCAGACTCCTGCTCGGAAGGAGATGGCATGCATGTAACCTTGCCTCCTCTCAGAGGCACTGCCTAGGGATCTGTCTTGAGGTCAGGTGGCATACGTGACAGCTTTCATTCTTCCCACAGATCATCGAGAAGCAGGCAGGGCACAGTCGGAGCCGGGTGTTCCGTGAGGTGGAGACGCTGTATCAGTGTCAAGGGAACAAGTGAGTGTGTCATGTATTCTCTGGAGAGGCTTGGCCATAGAAGGGATTGCCTCTTGCCACCCCTGACTCCAGCATGTCAGCGCTTCTCCACAAGTGCATGGAACTCTGTCCATCTTTCAAGGGGGAGAGGGGAAAGCAGTACCCCTGACATACTCTTTTCCTGCAATGCAGTCCATGTGGTAGAAGAATGAGCGCTCCTGTCCGTTTGAGGAAGAAACGGGGTTCATTTTCTTCCATGGCCTATGGAAGATGCACCAGCAAGCAGAGTGTTGCCTGGTGCAGTCTTTAGAGCTGCTCTACTACAGACACAGGTTGAGGCTCAGTGGGCTGCTCACTGCCATTTCCCCGTTCCCAGTGTAACATGTCATTACAGTGCTGAAGGTGGGACCAGCAGCACTCTTTGCTTGATAACTGGGCCACAGTAACCTTTAGCCCTGTGTTACACAGCTCCAAATGAGTGGCCCTCCCACTGTGGCTTTAAATCAGGGTCACCTCCAAGATTTGCCCGTCCCCCTTTCCTTGGCAGGGTCAGCAGGGAGCCGGTGGCCTGGTATTGATGGCTTTGTCATTAAGCTTGGAGGATGGGGGCCCGCTGTTGATTTAACTCCAGGCACTGCCTCTACAATCTTCTTTCAAATTAGGCCATTTTGGCCATCTTATTTGGACGCCTTCACAATAGTAAAAGCCCGGTATCTCCCCAAGTGGTCAGCATTTTTTTATGAGGGACAGATTTTTATTTTCAGCCCTGCAGCTTCTTAGTTCAGCATTAGAGACTCTACCAGGTTTATTTCGTTCTTCCAAAGAAAAAAAAACCCAACACCTCCAATATCCAAGCTGGTGGCTTCCCCACTGAGTTACAAGACGACCTTGTTGGCAGAGCACTGCAATACTCGGGCAGACAGAGAGTGCTCACCGGGGAAGGCCACAAGTGCTACAGTGGCCAGGAACGTGGCGGTTTCATTAAGCAGCGCTTAGCAGTTAGGGTCTAGCGGTGCCCACGTTAGGCCCCAAGTCTATTTGACAGATGTTTCCATTTTCTCCAGGCAATGTAAATACTGCCTCGTGATTTATGGGCAAGAGGGAGGGCAAGTAATTATTTGCTGCTTGCCTCCAGGACACACACCTACTATTCAGTGTTATTAGCCGCAATTGCTTCCAGTCGGCTGCAGATTTTATTCAGTTTAATGTGACCAGGACTTTTTATAACTCTACCTAGTGGGTTTTAGGGTTGGGGTTTGACAGCCCAGACTTGGTGAAAACACCAGAGACTAAACATTATGGAAAGATAAGGTGACCTGAATCTTGCTAACACCGTTGGCTGCTTCTCAAACATGAGTCTTTAATAAGCATTCTGATTTCACATTGATTTCTGCCCACTCCAGCCACTGTGTATTTGTCCGTTAGATATTTATGAGTGGACGTCAGCATGTAATGCTCCCCCTTTTCTCTATTTAAGGAACATTTTGGAGCTGATTGAATTCTTTGAAGATGACACACGCTTTTACTTGGTCTTTGAGAAATTGCAAGGAGGTATATCTTGTTGAGTATGTGTTTGGACTTTGGATTAAGACCCAGAGTGGTGATCATCCATCATGAATCCCAGAGACTTCTAAAATGAGTCAAGCTAATAAAAAGGATGAAGGACTTAAAAACTGCCCTTGGTTTGGGAGAAGGGAGGCCGGAGGGAAGGATGATAATTAGCATTTTGCAGAGCTTAGAATGTCACCTGTGTGGGTAGTCTATAAATGCCTTTTCATTATAATAGGAGTCACATATAGATACTGTAGGTGATCAATTTCTCAATCCCATGTCTTGACACATTCACTATTTAACTAAATTAATGATGAAGTAGAAGCTTTGGCTTCCATTGTGACGTCTAGAAAGGCTGCACAGGGGAGAGGAGGCCCCATTGTTTGGAACACAGACTGAGGAGTCAGGGAAGGACAAGAACATGCCACCCGTGAGGCAGAAAGAAGATACCTTTTCTGCCACCACATTGCTGTCACTGCAATGTACATTTAAGTTGCTCTTCTGACATAGTGAAAGCAAAAATGACACATTCCATCTCTTTTGCTCACCCAGCCCTAGGACACATCGGCAAGGGGAAGGTTACATGAATGTGTGGAGCTGGGTAGAAGGTTATCTAGAGGGGCTTTTAGAAACAGCAGAGCTAAGCTGAAGTCACACTTACCAGCCACCATGACCTTGGAAATTGGTTAGCCTTTTCCCAATGCTATTCACGTTAGTAAAATAGAGCTCTTGGTAGCACCTGTTTCATAGGGCTGCTATGAAGACTCAGTGAGGTGGTACTTGAGAAGCACTTAGCACCAGGCTGATAGGCACAAAGGTTCAATAAATGCTGGCTGCACTAAGGGATACCTGAGAAATGTATTACACATTATTCTCTGCCTTGCTTTTTAAATAACATTATAAACAATAGACATAGTGTAGGGCAAATAAAACAAAACAAAACAAACAAACAAACAAAAACATAAATAAGCATGGACCATTTTTAGGGTCCAGGAATGACAGCTTCAGCCCAGAAATACTGGTTTCCAGTAGTGAGCATATGTGTTTGAGTAATGTGTTTAGAATACTGGGGCAACTGGGATCCTCTTAAGCCATCACTTACGGTGTAGCGCTAGTGAGCCCAGAATGTAGGATAAAGGGGATGTGGGTGAGCTCAAGGCTATCCATCTGGACCACGGTCCTTTGGAAAGGAAATGTGCACAAGCTCTGAGGTGGATTTACTGGGCAAAAGTCATGGCTCCACCACTCACTGGTGTATGAGTACAGGCAAGTTGCTTAACCATTTTTGACAGAAGTTGCTCATTAATAAAGTAGGGGTAGCTGCTCTACACATTTTATGCATTTATGTTGAGATAATGTATTTGTAGAGGATTGAACATAGAGTTCTTGTCACATAGTAAATACTCAATAAAAGTTAATCATTGCCAACAAAATTAATAATGTAAAGGAGAATGTTTAGGAGGAAAAACAATCCTGCATTTTCAGCATCCCCACCACCAGGGCTTTACTTATGCAGTGAAGGTAGGGAATTTCCACTGGAAGGCCTGTCTGTGTTCTTCTCTGTGTCTGAGTTCATATCAAAAGGAGAAAATGTCTCTAAGCCCCCCCCCACACACACACACACACATAGCCCTGTGTGTTTTCATTTTTAGTTCCTTTTGAACTAATTTCAGAAGCCAGATCAGCCCCGGTGGCATTAGGGTCTTTTTGCCTTATATTTAATTCTTCTGCATCTGAATCCTAATAGATAGGCATAGATGGTAGCAATCTTGTTCAGTAGAAATACGCTGGTCCCACTGTGCCAAGCACCACGGTTGGTGCTAGACGTTAAGCAATGAGTAAGCCTGTGCCCCTCCCCCAAACTTGTCCTTTAAGAAGTTATGCTTACCAGAGCCTACAAAGCCATTCTCTCTTGTCCCTGTGTACCCCAGGTTCCATCCTAGCGCACATCCAGAAGCGGAAGCACTTCAACGAGCTAGAGGCCAGCAGAGTGGTGCGGGATGTTGCCACTGCCCTTGACTTCCTACACACTAAAGGTGATCTAAGCCTTTGCTTTGGGTGGGCATTAGCTGGCCAGACTCTGGGTACCAAGGTAGAGGGCAAAATTCTAGAGGGGAACCTGTCCAAGAGGTGGTACATCTGGCACTTCATGATTCAAACTTGTCCACCTAGAAAGGAGAGGTGATGTAGAAGGTGGGGGATGGTAGAGTGACAAAGATAGAGGCCCAGGAAAAAGAAGGGGTGAAAAGACTGGATTTCACAGTGGCCAAAGCATGTGTGGGTTTGTGCACTGTGACTCTATGTAGGTAATGTTTCGTTTCTTTCTTAAAATTCACTTGATTTTTAATTATGCATGTATGAATCTATGTGTGGTATATGAAAGTGGAATACCCAAAGAGGCCAGAAGCATCAGATTCCCCTGCAGCTAGATTTATAGGTGGTTATGAGCCTGATGTGGGGGCTGGGATCCAAACTTGTGTCCTCTGGAAGAATGGTTAACACTCTTAACCTTGGAGCCATCTCTCTAGCCTCGCTTTTTCTTTGCAAATAATGTAAAACTCATAAATGAATGGTCCATTCCCATGTGAGCATTTAGCATCATTCCTCTTCATCTTTTAGAGGGTATCACCTGTATCTCTCTCACACTGTCCTGATAGGGTTAGGTAGTCTTGTGTATCTCTTCTGTAGTGAGCTGAATCTTTTTGCATGTCCATAAGTCTGTTAGATTATTACATACATTTTTTTAGTTCCATAGAAAACTGAGTTGCTCTCTTGTGTCTCTCCTGTAGCACCACCCTGAGGCGTTACAGTGAGAATCAGGAGAGGTGACGGTGTCCCCCATGGTGGTTAACACATTACGCTTGTTATGTAGTTGACTGTATCTTCTGTATGTCCTATGAGCCTATGTGTGCACACATGTCAGCAACTATACCCATGTACAGTGATGGGGTAATCATGCACAGTTCTTGTGTATATGTGTGTGCCCTGTATATGCAGAAGATTCACACAGCTACATACACAAATTCATATACAATAAAGGCTTAGAGCAGTGCCATAGATGTGCATGCATATAAATGTAATATATATATATATATATAGCCTCTGGCACAGAGTAGTCCTCTGTCAAATGTTACTCTATCCTCTCCCACTCGACATGGTTTTTATTCTTAAAATTACTTTGCTTGAAGTAAAGCATTCTCTCTGGTTTGGGCGAGGAATGGAAGTAGAGCAAATAATTTGTGAGTTAGCCCCACTCCCTGCACAACCGTGGCTGTGAGTGCTCAGACCCAGCTGTAGCCACGCCATGCATGTCTCTCACTGTCAGACACAGCATATCCAGGTGTGGAGGTGAGCAGAGGCTCAGGTTCATTGATTCCTCCTGGTTCCTCGGTGGCTGAAAGTGATCTGCAAACTGCTGGTGTCCATGCTGGGGCCCTGACTTTGCACCTGGGCTGAAAATTCCTAAAAGGGGGTGTCTTTACTTTGCTCGGTATGATGAATGGAAGTGGCTCTGTTTCTGAAAGCTGGGATGCATGCAGGTAACACCTGCCTGACAAAGATTTACAACTGCTCCCCAAGCAGCCTCTGTAGATTGCAAAACTGGGTCATGCTTTTCACAGGAGCCATACCTTGGAGGAGGGGTAAAGGCAGTTTTATTTTTTATTTATTTATTTATTTATTTACAAAAATGCACTAAAGGGAATGGAGGCCAGTGGTGTCTTAGGAGTTCTGAAGTGCTTGTTACCACCTAGCTGGCCCCCTGCCCATGTGACTAGAAGTTGGAGGGGATGAAAAACGATTTCCAGCTGAACTTGGCTGTTTTCTAAATAACTTCATGCTGGGAAGATGAATTGGGCAAGAATGGGTCAGCCCTGAAACAAGTTCCCTACTTTTAAATACTGGACACAGTGCAGCTTAACCTCTGGGAAATGAACCTGAGCAGCTCGATGGCTGGTGCCTTCACTCAGGCAGGCCCATTATTACAGGCCGGCTCCCCAAGTCCTCGGGCTGAGGCACAGATGGGCCACAAGCACCTATTTGGAGAGTAAGGCTCCGTGTGCAGCTTGTGATCTTCTGTGGGAGCACTTGCCGTAATGGAAAATATCCTTCACTTTTAGTGCAGTGAGCAGTAGCCTGACTCAATTTGTGCACGCCGGGCCAAGTTGCTCGGGGTTCTCATTCAATTAGGAGACTGTGAAGTTACGCAGCTTGCTGGAGCTCAGATCTTTCTTCTCTAGTTTAGTGACTTCAGAAGGCTGGGCCTCTTAACAGAGAGTTGGAGAGCTACTGGAAAAGTTGACCTAGGGAGTTTGAGTGTGGCAGGTTCACTTTCCCCATTTCTCTGTATCTTCAGCTGCTTCCCAGGCCTTTGAAGCAGCAGCTGTCTGGCTCTTGCTCGGTCTTCCAGGCCTTGTGTTGCAGTGCTGTGTGTGGAAAAGGAGGAGAGAATTCTGTCTTCTCTGCCAGAATACCATGGCCTCATTTGTTAGCTCTACCCCTTCTATGGTTAGGAGATGGTTTTTCCCCAACTACCTTCTCGGCCCTTTTAGCAAAATGTAACACACACACACACACACACACACACCCGGGAGTCAGCTGCTAACTGCTGGCCTCTGCGGGAGGTCTGGTGTCTTCTCTGAAGAGCAGTGTGCTCAGCCAACGGACTTTCTGTGTGCAGGACGTAAGGAGATCTGAGAATACTTGGGAAGATTGCGAACTAACACTTGGTCCTCTAAGCATTCCAGGAGTCACATTGGAGGAATCTTTTTTCTAAAATCAGTTACACAAGAAGAAATGAGGGAGGGCCATCCAGGCCCCCGAGATCCTCTCAAACAAGGCACTAATTATTTCTGCATCGCTCTCCCAAGCCTCGCCATTTGCAGGCCTGTTGGCTCTGCTTTGTGTCAGGTGGCACAGTACAAATTCTCGGTTTTCTCTGCTGCAAATGGGCTGGCTGGGATTCATTTAGCACTTCGTATCCCTGCCAGACCTCTAAAGCCTCCACTTCAAAAGAACTTGCAGAAGCAACTGTGCTTTTGCTTTGTGTCTCTGGTCACCGCTGCCTCCTGCAGCTCGTTGATTTTTTAATGTACCATAATTGGGAATTAATCTGTGAACAACAGCATTTGAAAAAAATTAATTGTGTGTGGAATGTTTGATAATTGTGTGCATATGTTAACCCCTTCTTTGCTGCTTGTCACTCCAGGCATTGCTCACCGTGATCTGAAGCCAGAAAATATATTGTGTGAATCTCCCGAAAAGGTACGTAGGGCCTGGTTTGGGATATTACAGTTCATGGAAGTCAGGAATACCTACCTGCTTCGATGCAGGGAGTTAGAAGTTCCCCTGGAAACGTGCCAAGTGCAGCTGATTATAAACACATAAGAGGAGAGGATGTGGAGAAAGGGAACCCTCCTCCTTTGCTGGTGGGAATGTAAACTTGTACCACTTTGGAAATCAATCTGGCACTTTCTCAGACAGTTAGGAATACTGCTTCCTCAAGATCCAGCTACACCACTCCTAGGCATATATCCAAAAGATGCTTAAGTATACATAAGGACATTTGCTCAACCATGTTTGTAGCAGCTTTATTTGTAATAGCCAGAACCTGGAAACAACCCAGATGTCCATCAACAGAGGAATGGATATAGAAATTGTGGCACTTTTACACAACAGAATACTACTTAACAATTAAAAACAAGGAAATCATGAAATTTGCAGGCAAATGATGGGATCTAGAAAAAAATCATCCTGAGTAAGGTATCCCAGAAGCAGAAAGACACACATGGTATAAACTCACTTATAAGTGGGTACTAGACCTATAAGATAGGATAAACATACTAAAATCTGTACACCTAAAGAAGATAAACAAGAAAGAGGACCCGGGGTAAGGTGATCAATCCTCACTTAGAAAGACAAATGGGATGGACATGGGAAGTAGGAGAAAACAAGTAACAGGACAGGCGCCTACTGCAGAGGGCCTCTGAAAGACTCTTCATAGCAATGTATCAAAGCAGATACTGAGACTCATAACCAAAACTTCGGCAGAGTGCAGGGAATCATAAGAAAGAAAGGGGAGTTAATATGACCTGGAGAGGACAGGAGCTCCACAAGGACCAAATATATCTGGGCACAGGGGTCTTTTATGAGACTGTTTCTCCAACCAAGGACCATGTATAGATATAACCTAGAACCTCTGCTCTGATGTAGCCCATGGTAGCTCAGTATCCAAGTGGGTGGCCTAGTAAGGGGAACAAGGGCTATTTCTGACATGAACTCAATGGCTGGCTCTTTGACCTCCTCCCACCCCTGAGGGAGAAGCAGCCTTGCTAATCCACAGAGGAGGACATTGCAGCCAGTCCTGAAGATACCTGATAAGCTAGGGTCAGATGGAAAGGGAGGAGGACCTTCTCTATCAGTAAACTTGGAAAGGGGCAGGGAGGAAAAGAGGGAGGGATTGGAAGGGAATGAGGGAGGGGGCTACAGCTGGGATACAAAGTAAATAACCTGTGATTAATATTAATAAAATAAAAATTACTTAAAAAAAAAGAAAAAATGAACACATAGGCATGTTGTATCTAATATGTAGTGTTCCCACATTCCAGCCAGATGTAATCTCAGTACTCAGGAGGCTGAAACAGGAGGGTCACCATGAGTTCAAAGCCAGCCTTGGCTACAGAGTGAGACCCTGTCTGAAATGACCTCCACACCCCCAAAAAATTTTTTTCAGATAGTTAGTTCTTGTGCCTTTTTTATCGTATCACCTGTCTAATTGGCTTCAGCCTATAAGCTCATTAAACATGTGAGTCTTGCACAGCATTACAGTTTTCTATCACAGTGCTTCAGAGTAGTTGGTGTGAGTCAGAGACAACTAAAAACTCTTTTATATGGCTTCGTCTCTGCCCATAAATGCTAATTGTGGTATGGTATTATGCCAAATGGTGCCCATTATTAGAGGTAATAACTAGGAAGCATGTTCTTTGATAAGAGTTTGTTTATATTCCTATCTCCAAAGGTGCTCATTAATAGTCAAATATTAATGCTGGTGTTAAACAGTGTACCCTATGTAGACATTACCTTAGCACATCTACTAGTAAATGGAAGTCTCTGCATTTCCTTAAGAGTGTATGAATTTAACAAATTCTGTGTTAGAAGTTGATAGCAGCGGTAGGCCACATTCACAGCTCCATGTGTGTGCATGCACACACTTATGCAAGAACAAGTCTTGGTGCAGAAGCCTTAGCTCACAGGGAAGGAAGAGCTGGAAGTGAATAAGTGAGCCAGCCCAGTACACACAATTCTTTGTGGGGATGTTAATGTATTAGCTCAAGCAAAATTTTGTGACTTCTGCTAGTTGAGGTAATGCATGTCTTTAATCCCAGCGCTCGGGAGGCAGAGACAGGCAGATCTCCATGAGTTCAAGGACAGTCTGGCCTGCACAGCAAATTCCAGGACTTGCTGAACTCCATAGAACCTGTCTCAAGAAACAAAAAACAAAAACAAAGATTTTGTGACTGTGACTTCCTGTCAGTGGTTCTGGCATACACCTTCATAATGTATCGTTATTATGATAATTAATAATAATTACAGCTTACATTTCAAATATTCGCATTGTGCCAAGCACTTATGCTTATTTAGTATTTGTGAATCCTCTTAAGATAGATACTGCTATTACCTTCATTTTATAGATAAGGAAGCTGACGCTCGGAGAGGTTTTAAAAAAACTTACCCAAAATCATTCAATGGCAAATGAAAAAGCCTGGATGAACACTAAGGCCTGAGAGGGGGTGCTCAGAACTGGTCTTCGTTTACGTTGTTCTCTGTGATACATGCTTGTTGCCCCTTTCATGGTTGAAAAAAACCTAAATTTTAAGAGAAGCTAAGTGTCAAAAGGCATTACCAAGAAACTTAGAAGATAACTTGAATAATGGGAGAAAATATTTGAAAGTCATGTATCTGATAAGGGTTTAACGTCTGAAATATATAAAGGCCTCCTAAAACTCAGCAACAGAGCAGCAACTCAGTTCTGAAATAGTCAAAGGGCTTGAATAGACTTTCCTCAAAGAAGATTTGCAGATGGCTAGCAAGCACATGAAAAGATGCTCTGCATGCTCAGTTATTAGCAAACTGCAGATCAAAGTGATGGTGAGACACTACTATGCACGTTCTACACAGGCTGGCTATGTTTTTAATAGAAAGTGAATGATGATGGTGAGGATGTGGGTAAGTTGGAATCCTCATACATTGCTGGTGCTGGGAAATGTGGGAAATGGTTTGGCAGGTCCTCCAAAGGCTAAGGGTGGGAACACTGTATGACTCAGCAGTTCTGCTAGGTATGTGCCCAAAACTGAAAAGAGAGACTGAAACAGGTATTTGTAGGTAATCTGTATAACAATATTATTCACAGTAGCCACTATGGAAACAGCCCTGTGTCCGTTAATAGAATGGATAAACAAAATATGATCTTTACATACAATAGAATATTACTCAGCCCTAAAAACAGAATAAAATTCTGATACTTGCTATAACATACATGAATCCTTGAAAACATTTATGATAGGATTGGAGATAAGTCTAGAGCATTAGCCTAACATGCACAGGCTTGAGGTTCCTTTCCCAGCTTTGCCCAAAACAACAGCAAAAGCATTTATGCTAAGTGAAAGAGACTACTTATAAAAACATGTATGTTCCAATTACATAAAATATCTAAAACAGGCCAATTAATCAAGGCAGAACTAGAGTTGCCTGAGCTGGGGCTCAGAATTGGGCAGTAATTGATAGAGTTTAGTCCCCACTTGGAGGGATGGAAGAATTTTGGAAATTGATGGTGGTAACGGTGTTTATTATTGATGACGCTAGATCATACATTTAAGAATTGCTTAAACAGGGAGGTATGGTGAATACCTTTAATTTCACCCTCAGGAAACAAGCAAGTGGATCTCTGTGAGTGTGAATCAGCCTTCACTCTGTAGATCAGGCTGGCCTCAAACTCAAGATCCACCTGCCTGTGCTTCCTGAGTGCTGGGATCAAAGGTGTGCACCACCACGCCCAGCTAGGTCACAGCAATCTTAACACCATCTAGTTCAACCTCTTCTCCCTTAGGAAACAACAGTGTGGGGACGAGAAGAGGTGGGAGTCAGTCCTCAGTTGCCTAGCTAACACAAAGACAGTAAATATGGCCTGGTAGATAGAGCAGCTACCACCCACAGCCAAGCCTCCATTAGTCATGCTGCTGTCCCCATGACCTCCAGCTTCTTATGACAGGCCCTTTTGCTTCTTTGGCAGGTGTCTCCCGTGAAAATTTGTGACTTTGACTTGGGCAGTGGAGTGAAACTGAACAACTCCTGCACACCCATAACCACACCAGAGCTGACCACTCCGGTATGTATGGCCTAGCACCCTATGTCCCTGCTATTGGGTGTGCGGAACATCTGAATCTCTGACGCCCAGACAGAGAGATAGGAAATGAAACCCCCTGCTGCACTTTTCAGGCCTGAGTGGTCCTTGTGCTCTCAAACCCGTCCTCACCCAGTTGCTAATGAAACTGCTGTTGGCGCTTTCATTTGGAGAGGATCCCCTCTGCCAAAGCAGAGCCGTGTCTTCACAGATACAGGCTGCACCCTGACTCTTGGCCCAATGAAAACAGACACTGCACGGCCTGCCCTATTGCACCCAAGCTGTGGAGAGCCCTGTGAATCCCCTCTGCCCGCTGAAGTCAGTTGCATCCCCCTTGTGGTAGAAGACAGGAGCCATCATCCCACCCAGGGAAGGGCACGGTTCACTCTGTACTAAAACTGTGAAGTCCCAGGCCGATCCACAGAGCATCACTTGTCCTGTTGTTTCTCCCCCTTCTCATTTCACATTTCATATAGCGGCGCTGGGGGCTGCTTCTCCAGAAGACATTTCTCACACATATTTAATACACTGTAATTAAGATGATTCTTTTGAGATGTGCATGCTTCATCAGTGAATTTCCTAATAGCCTTTTTTTTTTTAAAGACCTGCCTTTAAATATGCTTATATCGTGTCTTATTCTAAGCAACGTTATTAAGAATGTTTTCGTATCGGCATCCAACATATAGTGTTCCCTTGTTCTCGAATTCATTAATTCTAATTGCCAGTAACAAAGAAAATACAATCTGTTCTTGAGAGCACTCACTGTAGTCTAATCAAATTAGGCAGGGTAGAGGGGGGCAGGCACAGGTGAGCCTGAAATAATAAAGGGGGAAGCAAAACGAATGTGTTTGATTTTCTCAGTATTCTTCTGTGCCAGGACTAGGGAATCACGGCCTGAGACAGCCACGGCTATGCCATTGTCCATCCTGAACCTTCTCTTACTAAGGGGCAGGGAGATGAGGGAGATTGGACATTTAATCTGAGTTCTTCAAGACTCAATGGCCTCTGAGTCTTAAACCATTAGGTTTCCTTCCTCTAAGCTAGTGGAGAGTCATTTTGAAAACTCCCAGCAGGATAGAAGCAAATCTCTACAGACTGGCCCCACACACCATGCCATTCCTGGCATTTAAGTGTAGACATACAGGGTCTGCTTATAGAGATGAGGTAGGGAGGCGCTCATGGGACTTCTTAACTAGGGCCACTGGAGAAGGACCCAACAAGACAAGATGGTAATGTGGAGTCAGCCTTGTGAGCCACAGGGGATGATGCCCTAGCTGAAGCTTCCCTTTGCATCTTTGGGGTGCTGGTGAGCCCTGCAGCCTTCCCAAGGACTTCTGTCTGTGGCTTCAGCCCTGCATCTTCTTGCTTTTGCCATCTGCTCACCCATGAATTCACCTCTCTCTTTGCCATCTCCCCTTCCCATGCTCCTGTCCTACAGTGCGGCTCTGCAGAGTATATGGCACCTGAGGTGGTGGAGGTCTTTAGGGACGAGGCCACTTTCTATGACAAGCGCTGTGACCTGTGGAGCCTGGGCGTGGTCCTCTACATCATGCTGAGTGGCTACCCCCCCTTTGTAGGTCACTGTGGGGCTGACTGTGGCTGGGACCGGGGAGAGGTATGCAGGGTGTGCCAGGTAAGTGCTGCCTGGGCCTCACTGGGCATAGGTGGGGGTCAGTGTGATTGTAGGGCACCAGACAGGTTTAGGATAGGAGACTCTACCAAGTCAGAGAGGAGTTTTTGGTGCCCTGTTCTGGTAGGGAAGCAAAAGACAAAGTGGAGATAGACATACAGGCAGCCGACATTTTTCAGGAAGGTTGTTGAGAAGAGCAGACATGAACATGCTCAAGTATGCCTGGCCCAGGGGACAAGACAAGACCTGTAGATAGGAGGAGCACAAACCAAGACATGGAGGCATGTACACAGCGGGGAGGGGAGGGGTAGCATGCTGGTGGCGGTAGCAGGTTGCCAGGAGCCAGGAATTGGGCTCTGTTTTATGGACACTATTTACACATCACCTCTCCTGTCCTACAAGTAGCATAGCCATTTTGGCCTTCCAAAGTCATTAAGTATTCCTGGAGGATCTTGGGGAGATTTAGGGAGGAGGCTGTGTTTGTGGTATTCTCAATCGATGAGCAACACTTGTAGCAGAATTGGAGCCAGGGTGGCCAGATCAGTGGCAGCATACCCCGCCCATCCCTGGCCAGTGTGACCTCAGAAAGAACTCTCTTTGCCTAGAACAAGCTTTTTGAGAGCATCCAGGAAGGCAAATATGAGTTTCCTGACAAGGACTGGGCTCACATCTCCAACGAGGCCAAAGACCTCATCGCTAAGCTTCTGGTTCGAGATGCAAAGCAAAGACTCAGCGCTGCCCAAGTTCTGCAGCACCCATGGGTACAAGGGGTGAGTGACCACAGGTTGGGTGGAATGAGACTGCTCCTGGCCTGCAGGAGGTGTTACGAGGAAGCTCTTGCCCCAGACAGTGTGGCTGCCCCACGCTGGGACAAGGTGGGATAGCAGCCTCAGTTATGCTAGAAGTTATGACTCCTGGCTCAGCCCCTTGATGTGCCTCCAGCCTTGGCCACAGACCAAACCCCTAGAGCCCTGTGAGGATTTGACACATGGATCTCTCTGTTAGCAGAGGCAAACATCCCAGGAAGCCATTCAGGGTCTGTGATATAAAATGTTATTAGCTAAGAGCACCAAGAGGGAAGGAAGGTTCTTCAGTTTAGTTGGCTGCCTTAGGGTCATGTGACTCCTTGCAGCTGGGAGTCAGGGAACAGGAGCCTAAAGGGCAAGTTTTCAATGAGTCAAAGGTGATGTTTTCAATGAGTTCAGGAACCAAGTCCTCACTATAAAACCAAATCCTCATGGTCAGTCACAATACCTGGTCTTCGTGTCTGTGGTTTGCCTGGCCCTAACCAGCTTCCATCACCCTGCCACTGGAAGGGGGCAAGCATTGCCAGCCAGAGAGATGTCAGGTTAGCTCAGTAGCTAATTCCCATCCATTGCATGTCAGAGTCGAGCAGTATGGAGGAGAGCAAGGCCCAGGCCTGTCTTCATACTCCAGTGTAGAGAGGTAGACCTTGTAGAACGTATGATGGATACCTTAAAAGTGCTAGGGACACAAAGGAACAAGACCTCTGCTTGAAATGGGGTGGAAGAGTGGCAGAGAAAGTGACCTTTGAATTGGGTCTTTAAGGATGATTAAGACTTGAACAGGAGCCAGGCACAGTGGCACACTGCTGTAGTCCCAGCGCCCAGGGAGGCAGAAGCAGGGGGATCTCTGTGAGTGCAAGGCCAGTTCAGGACAGCCAAAGCTACACAGAGAAACCCTGTCTCAAAAACAAAAATAACAACAAAAACAGGAGAAGGGAGAGACGGGGTTGTCTACAGAAGCGGCCATGACTTCAGAGTGTATCTTTCCTACTCTCTGTCTTCAGAAGGTCTGACTCTACAGCAAGCAAAACCAAGTCCCCACGCTGGGCCAAGCACCTGTTAGTAACCTGCCCCTTGCTGGCCTGGGTGGGGGCAGCTCTTGGAAGGTGGGAGCAGCATTACCCACAATCTGTCCTTCCCATTCTAGCAAGCTCCAGAAAGGGGACTCCCCACGCCGCAAGTCCTCCAGAGGTAAATGCTTCGATCTTTCCCACTGCCCTCTCACCTTGGCCTTGACTTTCCCTCTAGTCCTCAGGCCCATCTTCAGGCTCTGATGCTGAGTTCTCTGGCTACTTCCCCTCAGTCCTCTCACTGATCTCCACATAGATTCCTCTCTCTCAGCTTCATCTCAGCCCCTCTTTGCAGGAAAACCCCTGCTTTCTACTCAATTGAATGTGACTGTGAATCACCATTTTACCCCACAGATGGTTCTTATCTGTGGATCATTCTTGAAGGAGGATCCTGCTCCTAGCATTGGTAAAAGGAAAGGAGGAATTCAGGGCCACTGTAAGACAGAGGGACAAGTAGTCAGTCACATATACTGTTAGGCACACATGAATGATAATGGCCTCTATGTCTCAAATGCTTACCACTTATCCAACATTTCATACACAATCATGTGTTGCTCAAAGACCAGGATCCATCCTGAAAAGATATATGAGAGAAATACAGTTTGCTAGAGTGGAGGCCCTGCCTTCAGTCCCCAGCGCTAAAAAAAGAAGAGAAGAGGAATACAATCATGTGCGATCATCAGAGATGACACTGGGTGGTATAACAGCATGCTACATGTCAGCAACTGGAGTAAATGCCAAGCAGCAGGTGACTGTACTCCATCCGTAGTCTTCATAGCAAACTTAAGTTTTCCAGAGTCCGCTTTAGAGATGAAAAGGTAAGAAGCGGTGGTAACTTGTGCTAGGACACGTAGCAGCTGTTAGATAAATTCCTACCAACCTCTGCCCATAAGGATGGAGCTAGCCTGGACAGGAACCCCCTTGGGGTTCCTGCAAACCCATGTTCAGCATCCTTGGGGCTCTGAACCACTGCAGCTCTCAGAAGGAACTACCCAGGAGAATCTCCCTTTGCTCACCCCAGGCTGCTTCCACCCGGCCGGCATTCCCACCTGACTGAAGCTGTTGCAGATGCCTGCAAGTGCCAAACCCCTGTCCCTCTTAGATGATTATTCAACAGACCCAAAGTGTCTGGCAGATGCTGGCCCTGGGTTGGGCTCTAGGAGCACAGCTATAAATAATAGCACAGGCCCTGAACCAGAGCCCCTGCCCTCAGCAGGGAAAGGAGACCAGTGCAGCGCCTTGGCTTGGGAAGAGCTGGGACAACGGTAGAGCCTGGAGAGGTGGGTGCTCTGAGAAGGGACCATTTGCCCTGACTGTCCATCCCATGAGGCTCAAAGGCTATTCTCATCTTAGTCGAGCAAGGTTCTAAGCCAGGCACAGCTGCTTTGGAGAGAACAGCATGGTCCAGGAAAATATGCTGGATTGTGGAAGCTCGCAGTTGAGTAGGTACATCTGAGAGCCTGCCTGGCTGATCTCAATCCTGCTGCCTTCTTCTCCATGCCCTTCCTGGCCCCTACAGAAACAGCAGCACCATGGACTTGACACTCTTCGCAGCTGAGGCCATTGCCCTTAACCGCCAGCTGTCCCAGCATGAGGAGAATGAACTGGCTGAAGAACATGAGGCCCTCGCTGAGGGCTTCTGCTCCATGAAGCTGTCCCCTCCATCCAAATCTCGCCTGGCACGAAGGCGAGCCCTGGCCCAGGCTGGACGAAGCAGAGATGCAGACCCATGTTCAACACCAGCGGGGCTCTGAACCACTGCAGGTGCACCTTGTAGGCCTGTCCAGGCGGCGCCCCTGAAAACCTGTGAGGTCAAAGCGTGAAGCAGGCAGAGGACCTGCCCTGCAGCCCCAGGCAGGCCTTCTCCATCCACAAAGGCCCCCTCGGTTCCCACCCATCCCCCATTTCCCTTGGGTCCTTAGAGGAGAACGCTTTTTCCAAAGGGGTTGTCTTTGAAAAGGAAAGCAATCACTTGTCACTTTACATAATCGCCTGCAGCAGGAACAGCTCTTCATTGGGCTCCAATTGCTCCCTGTGTCCAGATCCGGGATCCAGCTCTTGGTGGGGGCTGCTGAGGCCGCAGCCTTCTGGGAGCCAGCTTCCAGGAGCTGACAGAGGCGGCCAACACACGTGCCTCCTTTCTCGGCACTGTCACCTTCTTGTGGCCATCCTCCCACCTTCTTCTGTCCTACAGACGTCCTCTCTGCCTGTCCGCTTCCTGGCTGAGCAAAGCCATCCCCTCAATTCAGGAAGGGCAGGAAGCCAGATCAGTCTTCCAGTCTGTGGTACAGAGAAGCACATAATCTTTCTTTGCCGTGACCGAAATGTGTTCCTCATTTATCAACCTCTTCCATGTTTGGGATTGCTGCTAAAGTCAGTATTATTTCTCTTTTTAAAAATATGTTTGCTTTTTAAACTGTGCTCTTCCAGCAATCATAGAACTTCAAACTCCCACTGCAAGCACATAGATTTCCCCAAGCAAGATATCCTTGCACTTGGGATTTAATCCCCTTTTCCCCACAGAACCAACTGATTTTAAGCTGCTACTATGATGAAAACTTTTAAAATGGTGTCTTCCTGTCTTTATCTGCTGCTGCCTTCTCCCAGAACATTTGTGGAGAGAGGTACAAATGCAGGGCAGTTAGACTGCTGTGTCTGAGGTGGAGGCCCGCTGCCCTGAGGAAGGCTGTGACCAGTGCCTCAGACTCCAAGGCACAGCCATTGTCAGATACACTGTGGAGTCGCATAAAGAAAACAGATTTGCATATGTGACATACAACATTGGTCAACCACAGTCCCCAAAATTCTCTCATAACTTGTGCTTGTTTTAATAAATAATGTCAAAATCCTGCCTGTGGCAGCCTTGGTGGTCCTTTTTTCAACTGCAGACTTGAGGCCGGCAGGCCTCCAGGGTTGAGACTGAACCTAGGAGGTTGAGAGAAGGATTCCCAAATATAATAGCACATTGGATCCACAGGTGAGAGGGAGACTTTTGCTTTTCTGTTTGTAGTTGAGGAAATATAACTCACCAAATACCACTTCTACAATAAACAACTGCTTTTAGGGGGCTGTGTATCAAGAAAAGGCTGAGGTGGGGTCAGTAGCCATTGCACAAGCAGATTTCTAAAGGAGCTGTCTAATGGAGGATCCTGTAACACCCTCCCCTGCCCACCCCTGACCAAAAGACCATATTTCTCCTGTCTAAAGCATTACAGTGCCTTCATTGAGGACCTGCTGTATACTCTGTCCTACCAGAGTTGATGACAAAGAGAAATGGTGCCTTTCATCCATCGCCAGACTACAGAGAGCTGAGTGGAAAGGACCATTGTAGCTTCCTACGGAGATGTCAGGAAGGAATCTGGGATCAGGGATCAGGTCATGGGCGACCAGCTATCCTACAGTATGAATGTCTGCCCATTGTGGTGGCGTGGCTGATGCATCCCTTCATCCACCTGAAGTGAGGCCAGCTGGAAAAGCAGATTTGCAGGATTGCCCAAAGGCTTCCAGCCCCTGGACATCCAGAACTGGAAAATGAATTCTGTCTGTGGACTTGAGCACTGGCCTCCAAGTCACTGGTTGGAGGAGCAGCTGTGGTGCCAGAGCTATTAGAAGGTGGAGGTCCTGGTCAGTCCTCCAACAAGAAAATGTCTTCAGGCACTTTCCAGATCAAACCGGGTCCACCACCATCCCCAGTCTTGCTGCAGCCCAAGACAGAAGACTCTCATCCTTCTGGCCTTTGCTCAAGCTGTGCTCTCCCACCAATCCTCACACACACACACACACACACACACACACACACACACACACACACACTGGCCCGCATGATGAGGTCCCTCTTTCTTGGAAAGCTGTTTAAGTGATACTGCTCAAGCTTTGGTTTTGCTAACAATTGTACCTTCATAAAGTAGTAGGTCCCTTCCAAGGAGTGTGCAGGCATTTCATTTGCACAGCTGTCCTATGGGTATACACATCATTTTGTCCCACTGGACATGAAAAACAGGCAGACAGCTGGAGAGCTAGCAATGACTAGTAGGACTTGAATTCCTTCCAGTGAGGCTTGGAACCCAAAGCCTTGCTGCTTTGGTCCAGGTCCCAACTCAGCCACTCATGAGCTTTGTTTCACAAATTACTTATGAGTTTGTTTTTTAGCCCTAAATGAGGATGAGTAGTGTTTAGCTCACCAAGCTGTGAAAATTATGATATAATGAAGGTGAAGGGTCATGCTTTTCCAGATGCATCCAGTAGATAATGCGCCATCTTTGGTTTTCTTGCTCTAACTTACCCTGTGTCCTAGGTGGGATTAATAAAACTACAACACCAAGGCTGGAAACAAGCTGCCCTTTTCCTTTCCCAGGGAGCCCTCTGAGAGCCCCCTGTGTAGTGAGCAGCTTGACCTGACTGTGAGATGAGTTAAGCCTCAGGCCCCCCAGATCTTATTTGATTGGCTGCTATGCCCACCACTCTTGTCCTGGAGTCCTGGTCGGAGGGACAGCTTGGTGCCAGGGGAGAGTCTGCTATTGGAAGGTGGAGGTCCTGGGTTCTAGTCCTGTCTGTACCACCATTTACTAGGGTACCTCGGGCATCTTAGTTCTGCTGGGCAGAGACAGGCATGGGGGATGCTCTGAGGGCATTCTGGGATGGTGGAGCCCTGTCCAGGCATTGAAAATTGGGGTGGATGTTAACGTTAAGACAGTTTCCAACTCCAAAGAGCACACTGGGCTGTAGCCTTCAGGGAGCTAGCTTCAAGGATCTGACAGGCTGTCAGCATTCGGTGTCTCTCTGTGCTATCAACTTCCTCTGGCAGTCCTTCCATCTTAGAAGGAGAGAGCTGGCCCCAGCCACCTAGAGTGTCTCAGCCCTCAGGCCTCATTTCTCAAATCCAGCTAGAGGGCATTGGTCTACAGTACTAGTTTCAGTTGGACTCTGGGAGCTCTGGCCATGGGATGATCAAGTCCTTGGGCTTCCACGTGTCCGCCTTGAACTCTGGGACCTCTTCTTCCTCCTGGTCCGCTGCTCCTCACCAGACCCAGCTCCACAAACAGCTTACATTGGTATCATGCCAACTACTTTAGCGGCTTCGGGTCTGGAAGGACCTGAAGGAGCAAGGTCTCCACAAGGCTGATATTCTTGTTTCCATGGTAGCAGTTGCCTTGGAAGCTGCTTTTCTGATTTCGGCTTCTGAACCATCCAAGAAAGCTGCCCATCCCCCTGGGACCAGTGAATTAATCACGCTGTCCCAGGTTCTCACCCTTCATGGAAAATAAATAGAACCAAACCAAGCTGGGGCGTCTTCAGCCACGCTGCCTCCGCAAACTCAACCCACACTTGGACTTGGCCTCCTGAGAAAGAAAGACCATAGACAGACATCTTCCATAGTCACGTACCTCCATAGCAGGCAAAAGGCAGACACCTCTGTAAGCAGATACCCTCTCTTCCTTTGCTTCACTAGGAGTCAAGATTCTATGGTGGAACCTAGTGTGTGTCATGGCTCAGTGATGCTGAGTCCTATGGCTCCAGGAGAACCCAGCCTCCCATGAGAAGGACTCTGGTACTTGGAAAGGCTAGGAACCCATGGAGCTTGGGCTGCTGCAACTCACTGTCTCCCACAGACAGCTTCCTAGAACTTAACTCTAATGCCAAACAGATCACTCAGAGATCAGCATGTATTTTCCTCAGGAATTGTCTAGCCTACACTGAAGACAGAATGGGAGAGGCTTCCTCTCCATTCCGTGTGTGTGTGTGTGTGTGTGTGTGTGTGTGTGTGTGTGTGCAGGCACGTGCATTTGAGTATATACATGTGGATACACATGCACATATACATGAGCACATGTATGTGCATGCATGGAGAGGCCAGAGGTCAACCTCAGGTGTTACTACTCAGGAGCCATCCATCCTTTGTTTTGTTTTTGAAGCCAAGTTGCTTATAGGGACCTGACACTTACTGGTTCAGATAGGTTGGCCAGTCAGTAAGCTTCAGGGACCTAACTGTCTGTGCTCTCTGCAACAGTGGAATTATGAGTGCATGTCACCATGCATGTCATACTGTCTGTTCTGGGAATCAAACTGAAGTCCTCGCGCTTGCACAACAAGCACTTCTGCCAGCTGAGCCATCTCCCAAGTGCCTCTGCATTGCCAAACAGAACATCTGAGTTTGAATTTGGACTCTGGGTCTTAGAGATCAGAATGTTCTTGAATCTGGAGCTCACTGGGCAGGGCACTCCTGCCTCTGGCTTGAGGTACAGGGACTGCTGCAGGTGCTTGATGTAAGACAGAGCAAGCGATGAAGCGCAGGCCAGCCCCAGAAAGTCTGTTTTGCTGACAGTGTGGGAGAGCCCCTCTCAGCCTTGGGCCTTGAGTGGAACTAGTACTGGCCCTAACCCCCAGTAATGCCAACACCTCAGGGTGAGTGGGAGGCCCGGCATGTGAAAGTTGTTGAGACTCCTGAGAGAACATGTATTCATGGCTGTTTGTTTTGATAGCTCCTTCTAAAGCTAACCCTCAGAGATGCTTTACAAAGTACAGACATGGGGTATAAGCTGATGGCGAAGTAGAGGAAAGCTCATTTTTATGAGTTTTGATCCTGGAAACATGGAGATGGTGGTGGGAGGCTTGGCTTCAGGGGCTCCATCTTTATGGGAGTTGAGGGAATATCCATGCTCTGTGGTCCTCCCGCTGAGGCTCCCTTGAGGTGATCCTGCCTGTTTAGGTCCTCCCCCCACTGTACAGCAAGAGGAGACTGTTGGTAGAGGTGGCGCTTGCTTGACGCCCTCCTTCCTGATGACTCTGGTGGTGATGTAGGGCCAAGCCCAGAGCGCCATCCCATAACCAGAAGCTTCAGCTTCTCGTGGCCACAGAATTCCACAGTCTCCAGAAAAGACAGAACAAAGAAGAGGAGAGAGTCCTTTGGGTGGGGTGGCAGAGCAGCCCAGGCAGGAAGGTTGCACAGGAAGGGCTGTCTGTGTAGGTCTTGAGGGACAAGGAGAAGTTTACTAGACAACAAGCACCAGGCAGATGCCCAACAGGGAGAAAGAGTGAGGGGCCTAAGGAAGAAGTGGAGACAGTGGAGGCAGGGGATTTTGAAGCTGGTGAGATGGCAGACATAATGATAAGAGACCAGCAATGAAAGGGAGGTTGGGGATTCTATGCAGGGTAATGTGACCTAGGGGAGTGTCTTCAGGTTACAGGAAGGAGCAGGCCCGTGCTGTAGGACTGGAATACCCTGATCCACATAGATCCAGGGAATGCAGTTAATAAGGAGGGCTAGAGCCAGGCTCTAGGAAAGAGGAACAGGAATCAGGACTAGATTGATTGGATTACCACTGCTCAGGGTCAGTTTGGTGGGTCCTCCAGACAGGGTGATGAGGTCAACCAATCTGGGTAGAGGTACTCAAGCTAAAAGGTCCCCACAGTGTCCCAGCTTCATGACACATCTTGCCCAGTTCCTCTATCCAACCCTACCCTACCCAACTGGCTCTTCCAGGGCTTAGCCTTTCCTCCTGTTAGCCGATAAAAAGGGTTTGTACCTATGCCCTGAGGTAAATGGGGCTTCTTAAGACCAAGGCTTGGGCTAAGACCCCTCAGGCCTTCCTAGGGCCAGCAGCTGACAGGATGACGGAAGAAGCATGGGAGGGACGGGGAAGAGGGTAGACTTGGAGGACTGTCCCCTCCTTCCATGTCTCCAAGCAAGGCCACAGGTATACTCCTAGGCCAAGAGGCAGAGGCCAGCAGAATCAGCCTTGAGCATGTGACTGGGGAGTCTCCGAACCTCCCTACCCCCAGAGTGCCATACGAAGGCATAAGCCCAGTCTTCCTACTTAGGAACCAACAGTGGAACCTGGGCTGCCTGGCCATTGGACCTTGGGGACACAAACAGAAGCTCACATTTCAGGCTCATGAATAACTCATCACCTGCTTGCTGCCTGTACCTCTGAGAAACCTGTTCCCTAGGCCTGCCCCCAACCCCACCTTGCATTTCTTTAAACTTTAATAGGCCCAGGTTCTAAGGCAACTGAGCGGGGTCCATGGAGCTGGGACAAAAAAGTCTTAAGCAGGAGAACTTGGGCCCAGCTCCCTCAGGTCCCAGGTGGTAGCTGATAAAGGAGGATCCTATGGGGCAGACCCACCTCCTTAGAACCCCAGCCAAAGTGTAAATGTGGCCAGGCAGGACCCCCAAGAGTGGCCTCCAGCTCCAGAGCCCTTCACAGGAGGAAGAGTAAGCTGGGGTGTTGAGGTCAGGTGAGGCCTGGGAGCCCCTGGAAAGCTATGGGATAAGGTTGCAGACCAACCCCAGAGTTACCAGCCGAGAGACTTACAGCCCAGAAGTTTCCACCCTGGATGTAGCACTCCAACGAGGAGACATCCATCTGAGAAGACCAAGACTCCCAGGAGGCCTGGGAGCAGTGCCCTGGGTAGACCTGCATGGACATTCCCATCAGCCCCAGAGACTTCCGCTGCCTGCAGCTGGCCTGTGTGGCCCTCGGCCTGGTGGCTGGTAGCATCATCATTGGCGTCTCGGTGTCCAAGGCTGCCGCTGCTGTGGGTGGTGTCTTTCTTGGCGCTGCTGGTCTTGGTGAGCAGACATTGGGCTGGGGTAAGGGGAGGAGATTTTGCTGGGCAGCAGAGGTCTGGGAGGTAAATGTGAGATGGAGGGCAGGGCTGGTGGTCAGTGGGAATTGGTTGGGGAGAGTGAAAGCCAGAACTGTCAATAGGGCAGCCTCAGAGTGCAGGAAGGAGAGCTGGCCTGGGGCCCTGAGGAGTGTGCTGAGATGAGGGAGGACAGGCTGGGTGCCCCACACCTCTCTGACTACCTAGTGGGATCTTGTGTTTGTGGCAGGATTCATCAGCCTGCTTGGAGTGGGGTGATGGGGTCCTGCAAAGCAGGACAGCGCAGACAAAAGACCCTCCTCCCCTTCACTGCGTCAGCAGCAGTTCTGTCTGTCTGTCCCAGCCAGGCTGGGGGCTTGAGGCATAGCTGCAAACACTGTGAGTGCCAGGATTACTTGGTCTGGGAGGACAGCAGGGCAGAACCCCACCCTGTGGCTTCCTGGCCATCAGGTCTGAGTGGGAAGAAGCAGTAGAGCCTCGGAGGCCACACTGGAGGTCTTGGGAGAAGAGAGAGCCGGAGAGAGAAAGGGGAGGGGCAGTGAGATTGGTGCCAGCTGGCTCCATTCTAGCCAAATAAGGAAAATGAGCAACCTGCTCTTCACCTAAGCAGAATGGAGCTAAGAGCGAGCTAAGAGCGGCAAACCTGTGGCCTGCATATTCTGTAGCCCCTTCCTCAGAGAGGCACCAAATCCCCAGCCAGGGCTGAGTGCTGGGGACCACACACACCTCCCATTTACATGCCCACAGCCTGAGCCTGTGCCTGTGCCCTCCTGCATCCCCCTCATAAACCGCCAACCCACAGCCTGCCACGTCTCACACCAATCAGGCCTTCCCCCATCACAGCACCCTCTGTGTCCCTCCTCAGGGCTCCTTATCTTCGCCTACCCTTTCCTGAAGGCTCGGTTCAACCTGGACCACATCCTACCTGCGATAGGTGAGCGTTTTCTTCCCCCACAGACCCTTTGTGTGCAGACCTTATGAGTGATTATCACCAAATGTGCCCATGTGTGAGCCTGCTCCTGGCTGAGGGAGGAAGGGACAGAAGAAGAGGGAGAAAGTTGTGTGTCACTGTCACCATGGCTACAGAGTAGCAGAATTCAGGCAGCTGCCTGAGCAGACATGGCTAAACCTCAGCAATCTGCCTCTCTTAAGAGCCCTTTCACTTCCAAAAGTTTCCTAGATCTCCAGATAACACTCTCGTCCCTAGCCCGGAAAGTCCCTCTACCTCTTCTTGGGCCCCATGACCTCTTAATAGTTCCCACCTTACTTCTACAACCCACGCCCAGTCCTGGGGAGCTCCACATACCCCAGTTCCCTCCCTTAAAACCTACCACCTCTGGCCAGGTGTGGTGGTGCACACAGCATTAGAGAGGCAGAGGCAGGCTGATCTCTGAGTTCGAGGCCAGCCTGGTCTACAGAGTGAGTTCCAGGACAGCCAGGGCTACACAGAGACACCCTGTCTCAAGAACCAAACAAACCACTACCACTTCTTCCAAGGACTCATGTCTTTTGCCCCTCCCCAAATCAGCCTAGATAAAGTGACCTAGAGGAACACAGCAGAGCAGAGACAGCCACTGATGAAGATTAGGCAGCAGCAAGACCTTCCTTTCTCAAGGTGGGCTGGATTTGGGGATGACCCAGTAGATGGGAAATTAGGGTGTTCTCATCCTGCAGGAAACCTGAGAATCCACCCTAACTCAGGACCAGACCATGGGGAGGGAAGACCCAGCAACACCAGCAATAAAGAAGGTGAGCGCCTGACTGGTTCTGGACTCTGCTCTCTGACTAGGCAGCCTTATAGGGCCTGGGAGGAGCCTGGAGGGTCATAGGCAGGGAGGGGGTCAGCTTCACTGTGCAAGCCCTTCTCTTTAGGGCTTCCCTGTCCTGCCCAGCATGGACACCAAGACAGAGGGCCCCCTATTTTCTCTTCCCCTACCTCTGGGTCTCATGCCCTGGTTACTGTCCACTCTATTCCCAGTGCTGAAGTCTGGCTGTTGGCAATGACACCTGAACCTAGGTATCTTCTCCCTTCCTGACCCTGTTCTGCACCCTGGGAAACCAACCCCAGGGAGGAGTGTCTCCAAGGCAACCCAGCCCCACTTGTTGATGTGTCCATGTCCCCATGCTTACCCAGCAGAAGGGCCCATTCCAGATGCAGCCCCAACCACTTCTCACATACTAACGGCTTGGTTCTCACAAGCCACATGCGGGGAGGTGCTACAATAAACCTTATTTTTTGTTTGTTTTTGTTTTTAACATGGGGCAACTGGAGCACAGAGACCTCATATGACACATCCAAGATCACAGCCAGGAGGCAGTGGGGCCAACTCTGAAGCACGCTGCTCCTGCATCCCACCCTTCTCACACTGTACTTGGTCCCTAGGACCCCCCCCCAACCTGTCCCAGCTCTATCCTGTGGTCCTGCAGCATCCCACCCCGCCCCACCATCTTTGAGCTCTCTGATCTGACAGGTCGATGAGAGTCTGTACTCAGACACCCCATCCTGCTGTCTCCTCCAGGAACCCGTAGCAGCCTGTCCACTGTGACCAGAACCCTGGAGAAGCTGAAGCCTGGAGGCCGGGGAACTGAAGAGGGCTAAGCATTGCCTCCTCTCCCAGTGCTCCCCCAGTACTCCTGTCTCGGCCCTCCTTCAAGCTAGAAGATGCATCGATGAGCCCTGGGGATTTTGGACCTACCCTCTCCTCCAGTGAGGCTCTTTCTAACAGATTCCCTCACTCCCAGCATCATGGCAAGACCCACAGGCCTCCAGTGGTTCCAGTTTCTCCCCTGGCTCATAGCTCCAGACATCTCAGTTCTGTTCCCTGTTTGATCTCCTGTTGGAATTTGTCCCAGGGCCCTGATGTATCTCAGTCATAGAAGCTGACCACAGAAACCACAGATTGGGGGGGGGGGGTCCTACTGAGACTGTCATGTCCATGTCGGGAGAAGTGACACTGCTGGCTAGGTAACTTTCCAGCTAAGCCAGCGTTGAGACTTCTCCTGGCTCCAGACAGGCCCCTGGCACCTCCTATTCTTCCCACTCCTCTTTGCAAGAAGTGTTCTCCTTGCTCCCTCTAAAAGGCCATCTCGGCATCCCAGAGCTGCAGGTCCCCTGTCCTATTCTAGCAGCCTGTGTCCTCTCTCTTGGAACCTCCAGAAAAGTTTGAATTCTTCTTCACAAAAACAATTGCTTGTTTTTCTGTTTTAAGACAGGATCTCATAGCCTAGGCTGATCTTATGTGCCCAATCATGCCTAGCTAAGGTTAGCAGTTCTATTTGTTTTCTATTCTGCATACTGAACTCAGACTTTAGGACACACTAGGCAATCACTCTACTCAGTGATATCCCTAGAGCTCACAAAAACAGTTCGCAAGCCTACCTAAATATGATGAATGATGCTTTTCCCCCAGTCCCTAGCACCAGGCAGGGCACAGAGAGGATGTTCAGCAAATGCTAGTGGCTTAAATTAAGTTGAGAAAAAAAAAAAAAAGAGTACCCCCAGGCTTTCCTGGAGAGCTATGTTATGGCATCTCCACAATAAGGTTTGAGCTAGGGAGGCTCAGGCACATGCCCTGGCAGAAGGCTGCTCCAGTCCACATCCAGGAAGACAATATCATTCAGTCTCTGCAGACACACGCTTCTTGTCCTGCTCTGAAGAGAAGACAAACTAGACCAGTTTTATTCTTGTAGGGCCCATGCGAATGAGTCCTCTCAGAAGCCTTCTTTGAAATTGCCCCAATAGCTCCAAGAGCAGCTGATCATTTGAGTGGCTCTGGTCTGTTTCTCCATGTTAAACAGAGAGTCAGGCACACAGAAGACATCTTGTGGATGTTGGAAAAATGGCGACATGGGAGAACCCATCTGGGACAGATGGGAAGGCTGAGAGAGAGAGCTCAGGATCAAGGACTCAGCAGGTGTCCCAGAAAAAGTGGTGGAGTCAGGCTTTGCCACCAGCCCCCCTCTCCTTTGCATAGCCACAGAGCACAGCCCCTGCAGCAGTGAGCCAGCATCCACAAATGCTGGTAAGCTGGGTGCTCCATCTTTCTCTCCACCACCCTTTTGTCTGCAACTTGTCACTTCTTCCTTCTCAGCACCATCACCTCTCAAGCTCTTCCTTGATGTATGAGAAACCCCTTCTTCAGTCTTCGCCTCTGTGCTCCAAAGAGACGCCCAGAGGTGAAGGGTGGGAATTGGGGCTACAAATCTAAGCTGAGGAGAAGGTTCCCCTCTATTTGACGCTGTCAGAACGGGTCTCCCTAAAATAGGATATGATAAACCTGATACCTGAGGGGCCAGGCACAGAGAAGTACTTATGACTGTTGAGGAATAAATTAAAAAATATTCACATGAAAAACCATGAGCTGCATGCACAGGAGAAGCTGGCAGAGCCTTGAGGTGAGCGAGAGCTCTGGGGCCTGTCCCCTCCACACCCCACTTTTCCCGGCTGTGGGCTTTCTGAAGCCTCCGTTCCTTCAGCACAGGTGGAGCTTCCGATGCAGCCTCTCCTGGAGCGCCCGCTCTCCACAGCAGCCCCTGTGAGGCTCGCCTTCTCTCCTGGCCCTGTCCGAGAAGAGAGGAGGTGTGCGGAGCTAAGAGTAGTTTGGTGTGTAGCTCTTGGTTAGTACTTGAGCAGCAGCAACAGAGCCCTCAGCGCTTCAGCATGGGTGTGGGAGTGGACGGTGGGAGCTCTTCCAGAAGTCTACTCAGAAAGGGAACTGGGTCTTTCCAGAAGTTCTAACACCTGGCCCTGGATTATGGCTGAGCCAGTGTGGAGACCAGAGCAGTAAAGCAAAGCTGAGTAATGCTTGATCTAGGCAGGCCCCTGAAGTCAAGTCCTTACTGGCTCAATCTGGAGGAAAACTGCTTCAGCTAAGGGAGTGAACATGAGACTCCCATCTTGGTCCAGAGCTCCAGGGGCCAGAGCAAGAAGCTGGGAGCGTTGGGCTTGAATTTCCTCATCTGCAAGTAGAAGATGGCTGTGACAGATCCTCACTGGCACATGCTCTGAAAGAAGGGTGTAGACACCATCAGGTGAATTTGTGAATGGATTTATTGGTGAACGAAGGGGCAATGCGCAGAGATGCCCTCCAGCCACACTCCTCCATGTCTGTCAGGCCTCTCTGCAACAAAGTCCAGCCTCAAGCTGCCGCTACCCCTCAAGCTGCCATCTCCCTGGACCTTCATCCCAAACCTATAGGGGCATGTGGCCACACCCCTTTCTAGAGTGCTTGACTCTAGAATTAGGTTAATTAGGGAAGGGGTGCTGAAAAAAAATCCATCCCTGGGAAAACTCCCTGGCCCCTCCCCAGCACCGGGGCCTCCAGGGCTACAGAAATGCTAGACACTGCAGGCAGGGGCATCCGCAAAGGAGGACTGTTTCCACTCAGGGTGAGAAAAGAAAATACAGCCTAGACAGTGTGGGCGGCGGGGAATTAGTTGCTGCGGGCTGGCAACCCACGAACCCGTAGGAGCGAAGGCGAGAAGGGCGTGTGCGAGGCTTTTAGGCTGGAGGCAGCTAGTGGGAGCCCAGGGAGAATGGCCGCCCACGCTAGGAAGGGACTCCAGCCCGCAGGCACGAGGCTGCTGTGATCCCCAGCCGGGCTCCGCTGTCCCAGCCGGCGCTGTTGTCTCCCATCCACTGTCACTGAAGCTGCTGAGACGCTACAGAAAGGAACTGACTGCTCCTCTCAGCCCGGCACACTCACTCTGCCGGAGCCCCTACCGGCGGCGGCGCTGTGGGCTGATCCAGCTTCTGCCCAGGCGGGGCCGCTATCCCAGCGTTTTGAGCCTGACCAACACTGGGACACAGGGACTCCTTTCGCTCAGGGGTCAGCCGGGTCACAGCAGGGGAGTGTCCACGAGCCCTCTCAGGCAAGTGCAGCTGCAGAAATTTGGGGGTCGCTGGAGGGATTGCTGAAAAAAGGGGGGGAGATGCTTATCCTTCTCTGAACTCCTAGAGAAAGGAGGGCACCAGACAAGGGGCCAGGGACCTCTGGGTTTGGGAAAACAAAAGTGAAAAAGAGAAAGGGATTAGAGAACAGGAGACACACCACAGACTGGCTGTCTTGGCTCCCCTACAATACCCTGGTCCCTGCTGCTCTTAACAGTTGAATCTACCCTAGAGCTTCCCTTGGCGCTCTGTACTTTCTCCAATGCCCAAAGTGGGGGGAAAGCTGAGAGAAGCTGGCAGACAGCAACTCCAAATCTGAGAAACAAGTGCTGCCCAGAAGACAGACTTCCCCGGCTTCTTGACCATCGATCCCTTTCCATTTGTTTTACTAACGTTCACTGAGCCCTGAGAAGAGACAGGTACCCAAGGTGGCATGAAGTCCTGGACACAGGAAGCCCCAAGGCCAGGGGCCCACCATTTGCACAGGAAGGTAGCGCTGGGGGAGCTAGCTGAGAACAAGGCTGACTCGGAGACCGGCTTCCCAAGCCTGGTGAGCTCAGCCCCACCAGAGCGGAATCAAGAGGACTACTTGGAGGAATCTGGGTGCGGGGAGCAGCAGCTGGGAGGCTCAGGAGGGTTTTAACAGAGAGAAGGAATGGGGCATGAGCAAGGTCAATTAGTGGGACAATAATAATAATAATAATAAAAGATGGACTGGAAAGATTCTTGGCAGGAGGGTCTAAAAGGCCCCAAGATGGGTTGCAAGTATGTGGAGGAGAGCCTGAGGGTGAATGAGGGCGCAGGACCAAGCCTGGGTCTTGAGCCTGTAGCCTTTGTGGGAAAAGGAAACACTGAAAAAAAAAATCTATATACAGAGGCGGTGTTCCCAGGAAGCAGGGCTCAGAAGGCCTCAGAAGCAGAGACTAAGAGCTGAACAATATTCATTAAGCTCAATGACAAGGGGCCACTGCCGACACTAGTGAATACAGAAGCAGGAGCATGATGGGACAGAAACCAGACTAGAGTGGATACCCTTGGGAAGGAAGTAAATTGTGGAGTGTGGACCATTTGTTTAAGAAGCTGAAAGCTCTTGACGAAGAGCTCAAGAGCATGGTTGGGTTGGAATGAAGACAGGACGGGCAACAGTTCCCAGGAGGAGGGATGGCCCACTGAGAAGCTCCCCTGTGGCAGGGAGGAGAGTTGTGGAGATGCAGTTTGCTGCTGTGGTCCAGCGGGCTTTCTTCTCCTCTCCCAGGCTTAAGAGTGTGGGCAAAGAGTTGAGAGGCAGGAAGCTGGCCTGAGACAGCGTCAAGCTTTGCTGGTCAGCACTGGCAGGACAAAGAGATGAGACGAAATTACGAAAGTAACTAATGCAAAGTCGGTGTGGATCACAGGTGGACACAGAAAGAATCAGACATGAGGACCATGGCATAGAGGTAGGGCTCCGGGGATCGACTGCCATCAAAAAAACAGTTCCAGCAAGGGCAGTGTGCAGTCCAGGAACTGCAACGGCTTAGGTACAGACTCGGGAGACATAGCCTCGATTTTAGAATGGGCTCTGCCTGTATTACCACCAGCTTTGTGACCTTGGATAGTTAGCTTAACCTGAACCTGTATTTTCTTATTTGTCAAAAAAGGGATGGTAATATGTTTACTTCTTAGGATTGTCGTAGGATTAAATGAACTGATGTATATAAAGGGTTTATATCATCGCTCATTTCCTAATGCTGTAACAGTGCCTAAGACTGAGTAACTTAACGCCATTCTGGAGACTGGGAAGTCGAGAGAAGGGGGCTGGCCTGTATTCCATCATCACTTTTTTTTTTGAGACAGGATCTCACTATATATCTAGGCTGGCCTCTGCCTCCTGAGTCCAGGAATTAACAGCATGTGCCACCTTGCCCAGCTCCTAGTCACTTTCTAAAGTGATTGGCCTTACATCAAAGCCCCACCACTAGGAAATCTGAGTTTTGGAGAGACGTGCCATACCTGAACCTTAGCAGCCCGGGACGTCATTAGACACACAGTAGACGCTGTCATAGTTTGTACAGTGGTGGGGGTGGCTTCTCCAAGGTGGGCTGGTTCAGGGTGATGCCGAGGATGACAGGGTCCGAGAGGGCACAATGGGGGCAGGGAAACTGAAATAGGGTGAAGGAGCTGCGCAATAGAGGTGAGACGTCAAAGGACTAAAGGAGCGAGGTCCCGGGAGGACTTCAGATCCTCAGCAAACTAGGACAGGGTGGAGGGATGTGTGGAGCTAGTAACAAAGCCTGGGAAGGAGGCGAAGGAAGGCTAGCCCCACCCCAGCAGTCCAGGGTCCCCATCGACCGTCCCTCCTGTTGCTCCAGGTAACTGAGTTACTATATGGGGGCAGAGGCCCAGACTCAGTCTGCCCATATATGGCCTCCTGGCTAGGGACCAGGAACACATCTAAGAGCATCGGGAAGAACTGAGAGGAAATAAAAGACCCACGGCAGCAGAGCCGCTGTTGCCTGGATGGGTACAAAGGTTGGTCTAAGGGACCCAGGGCTGTGGCTAACACAGAATCCTTTGTCACTTGGGCCATCTACTGTGCTAGAATAAGAGCCTGCAAAGCCTGTAGATCTTCTGAATGGGGCTCTCCCTCACAGGTAAGAGTGCGACAGTGGACTGGCCAGAGGAACAGACAGAGGAACTCTGGCACTGCTTGCTAGCTAGAGCCATGAAGATCACTGTAAACAGGGAGGCAGTGCAGGGCCGCCTGACTCAGAGCTCCCCTGGGACCCACCCCGTCACCTCTCCTGGGGCCCCTGCCCTCAGGCACCTCACCCTCCACCGCCACCAGGCAGGAAGTCTCTAGAGACGCAGCTGCTAAGCAGAAGCTCATCCCCACCCGATGGGAAGGTGTCAGCCTGTGTCTGCATTTCTGCGCGCAATGCAGCAGTGTTCTGGGTATGTTTGTTGGTGAGCGCGCATGCAGTGAGTGAGGGGGTGGGTGGGTAGGTGACACACACTGGGAGACAGGAAGAGAGAACCCAGAAGTCACACACAAACTAGAAAGCCAGGCAGGCCTTTCAAACCTCCTGCTCAAGCATTGTTTCTAGGTAGGGGAGTGTGGTGTGTGTGTGTGTGTGTGTGTGTGTGTGTGTGTGTGTGTGTGTGTGTTTGCACGTGTGTGTGTGTGTGTGTGTGTGTGTGCTTGCATATTTCAGAGAGTGGGAAACTGTCTGGCCATTAACTGGGAAGGGATGACGCATCTCTGGACCCTGGAGAGGCAGAATCCTCTTGGCAAGAGCTGAGAATCTACAGCGTGATGAATTAGCCCCAGCAGAAAACGCCTATCAGTGATGTGGGGAGTCCAGATGATGGGGCAGAGTTGAGCATAGAGTGAGGTTAGTCTGGGGTTCCAGAGGAGCGGCCTTGCCCAAACTTTAGGGGCTGAGAAAAAAAGGGAAGAGTCCACAGTCAAGGGACAACAGGGCTTTACCTGAGCAAAAAGACTGGGTCACCCATGGAGAACAAGCTGAGGGCCAGTGGCTAATATCTTTGCCAAAGTCTCTGTGCTTTTACCCAGAGGATCTTGAAGCAAGAGCCAGGGCTGGAGGCCTAGAATCTGCCACCAGCTGAATATTTGCTCTTATTCAATGCAGAAGTCTCAGAGCCATGTTCTGGGACAGGATGACATGGGCTCTTCTGGCAGAAACCCCCCCCCCCCCCCCCGCAAGGAGCTCTTAGCTCCAACTACTGATGAGCACGAGGTACTGATGGCTGCCTGGGTAATTATAATCAATAATCAATAGCTACAATCGTTGGGGGGGGGAGGGTAGCATTTGATGAATATAAGGTTTCCTCTGCTACACATGCACACACACACACACACACACACACACACAGTCAGAGCAAGGTGAAACAGTGACTTCTTAGGGGAAAAGCTTAATTCAGCCCAAAGCAAAGAAAAATGAACAAGTGCCATCATATTACTAGTGTGTCCCTTTTATGATACCTTGTGAGATTTTTGATAGGGCTTTCTAAACAGGCTCTTATTTCTAACTTCACAAACCCCAGGTAGTTAAGCATGAGGCATCAGGTTGGCAAGAGACCTCAGTTCAGAAATAACCACCCTGTTATCCCTCCTTTCATGTTCAGACAGCTAAGGTCCTGGGGAGAGGCCCCAGCTATTCCAAGTTGGCTATCAGCTCAAAATCCAAACTTATGGTCACCTCTGAGGCCCAGCTCCAAGTTTCTTCCCCCGCCTCTGCCCCTGCCTCTCCCTTAAACTGCTTCTACACCAGATTCCCAAATAAAGATCACAAGGCCTTCCTGGCCAGAGGCAGAGCAGCAGGAAGGGGAAATGCTTAGCCAGGATCGTAGGCAGCAGACATCAGTGGTCAGCACTCTGTCTGTGCTTAGGAAAAACAAACAAACAAACAAACAAACAAACAAGCTGTGTTCTGGCTTGGTACAGTCTCTCTCTGTGACTACAGAGGACTTGGTTATGGAGTGTGGTGGTACATGCCTGTAATTTCACCTCCTCATGAGTGTAGGGTAGAAGGATCACAAGTTCAAGGCCATCCTAGGTAGCTTAGCAATTTAGCATGACCCTGTTTCCAAAGAAAAGAAAAGTCAAACGATGTAGCTCAGCAGTAGAACACCTGACTTCCACAGTTGAGGCCCTACGTTTAATCGGCAGCACGGGGCCTGGTCTAAGTGCACTCCATGGACTGGGCAACTTGGAGTCACTACAGCAAAATTCTTTAGTCTATGGAACTAACTATTCAGAGCAATGGCCTTTCCTGTGCTCAAGTGCCGGACTTGAGGGCTTCAATGGGGCTGAAACACAAAGGGGCCTGGAGAATAAAGTCGAGAGGGTCTAGCTTCCAAACTCAGTAGGTAAGCTTAGGAATGGCATCGCAGGTCCTTGGCCAGGAGACGCTGCTTTGACATGTGCCCAGAAGAAAAGAGGCTCATTTAGACCTGGCAGGACAGGACTGTGAGCCAAGCTGCCTATGAGGATTGAAAGTTCAAGGCCAACCTGGGCAACTCCATGGGCCTGGGTCTCAAAAAGTGAAAAGGGGTAGGGGTGAGGAAGCGAAATAGCTCAATGGTAAGATGAGGCTCACCTTGGAGCCTCAATTCTGTCTCCATCACCACCAAAAGAGAAACAAGCATTCAAGTGGGGTTACAGATGCTGCTCCCCACATCTTTCTTTGTACTTGTTTCAGGGATGTCTTTCTTGTGTTCCGGGATTCAGACTAAGGCCAGTAGGCTTGGGCGGCGAGCACTTTTACCTTCCGAGCCTCGCCCCAGCCCCACAGATGAGGCATCTGAAGCTAAGTCCAACTGCAGAATCGTGGGTGGTAAAATAGAGGTGGGCCTGGAATTTTCTAGAGCGCACTGTCTGGGAAGGGCTCAGGAGTCCAGATCACGGGGAAACTGGCCCCTCAGCGAACAGCTGAACATCAGAAGCTTCACCACTCCCCCAGGCCTCATCTGATGCTCGGGGCAGGCAGCAGATCGAGTAGGTGCAGAGCCTGGGTCTTGGGTAAACAGCTAGACACCCGCGTGTTTCATTTTCTTCGCGTGAGCAAGAAGAAACAAGGCCGGCTGATTCCCAGGCCTCCACCGCTTGAAGGGTGGTAGGGCTCTAAAACCCCAAAGCTGCCCTTCCGTTAGGGCTAAGGAATAGGGCAAGGAAAGAAGAATCATTTAACCGGCAACCTGCTGAGCACTTTACAGTCAGTCTGTAAGGAGAGCCTGAAGGCTTCCTGGAGAAGGGAGGGTAAGATAGCAGTGGAGGACTCCAGGACTGGGCGGGGAAACCGGCTGTAGAGTCTTCTCCTCGGGTAGGCTGTATCCCAGGGCTGTCCAGAAGGACCGGGGCAACTTGCAGATACTGCGGGAAGCCACAGAACTGAGCCTAGGTTGGGGGTTAATCTCTCTGACTAGCCCTCTTGCCCTGTGCCCACAGGACCACCACGAGTTTGCCCCTGTCATGTGCACCATTCTGGGCAAGCAGCTGGGCAGAGCTTGAGGCGCGCAGGTCGTGGGCGGGCCGATGCCGCCGCGAGCGAAGAGGAAGAGCAGAGCGCCCCTGGGCCGTGCCCAAGGCGGACTGCGGGGCCTGCCGTCACACGCGCTGTGCTGCGCCTGCGGCTTGTGCGTGCTGCTGGCCGGCCTGAACGTGACCCTGCTGGGAGCTTTCGCCGCCTTCCTGCCTGGGCACAACGTGCCCCTGGTGGTGGGGCCCGCGCTGCTCGTGCTGGCTCTGGGCTTCTTTGCTGCCTGCTGCGTGTGCAGCCGCCGGGGCCCCGCGCCCCGCACGCACTCTCCAGCTACCGCGGACCAAGGCGGCGGGCGTCCGGGGACAGTGGCCCTGGAGATGGAGAGCAGCGAGCGCACGGCTCAGGACACGACGGCGGTGCAGCTCAGTCCAGCCGCCTCCTCCGGCCGCTCCAGCCCCAGCCCGGGGCTCTTCGCCCTGGACCCTCCTGCACCTGCAACCACGGTCGGCTACTTGCCACGCACCGAAGGGACCCAACTCGACTTTCCCCAGGACCCGGCTGCCTCCTAGTGGGCCAGGAGATGGGGGAGGGGGAATAAGGCCAAGGACTGTGCACAAGTGGCCTCATCTAGAACTTCCAAAAGGGAAGGCTGGGAATTGGCTCTCACACCCCAAAGGGAGCGGAGCTTTGACCTCTTAGGTGGAGTCTCTGAGCTCTGCTTCGTCCTCCCCTCCTCCTCTTCACATTGATGGAACTGGACCCCGGATCTGGAAACCTGCCCCTCCCCGTGGCATTTGGGCACCATGGAGGAAGCCTCATCCAATCTAGAGGATCTAGTTAGGTCCTCGGGCTGGAGAGAGAGATGAAGGTCGAGCTAGTTTTCTCAGGCCCTGTGCGCTGTGAAAGGCAACAGCCCTCCTGCCCATTCTCCTTGTCTCTACCCCAGCATGCCCTCTAGGTTTAACTGGGTAACAAAGGTTCTGACTTCAAGATGGTCCCTGGGATAAGCTGGATGGAGTACGCCGGTCCTTTTTGTCTGGCAAAGCTCAGGGGGGCTGAGGCTGGGATCCTCAGTGGTGAGGAGGCTTTTCAATCCTGAAGGTCCCCTGTGTGATTTTTTTTACTGCCAGCACCACCCACCACCTTGACTGTCACACTGTGCATTCCAGCCTTGTCTCACCCCTCAATAAAACCCCTGTGAGTCAGCACTCTGAGGCATGCGTGTGGGGGAGGGGCCGACTGGGGGCCTCTGATGAGCACCTGGACCCTCCATGGCAGCCTCTAAACATTTCAGTATCCTGGCGCCAGCCCCCCCTTGGAGATCTAGAAGGGGACCCCAGGGGAGAGGAGCGTGTGACTGAGCAAGATGGTCTCTTAGACTCTGTGTATCTGGGAATGTCCACGGGAGAAACGGTGCCAGGTGTGCGGCTGGGGTAGGAGCGACCATGAGTGAGCTTCCTTGGCACCTATAAAAGACAAGCGTTTAAACGACTGCTGACATCACGTATGTGTGGGCAAGTAAGAAGGACAGCAGGTGAAAGTGTGGCCGCACAGCACGGAAGAGAGGAGCTCCAAGGGCCACGCAAAGCCCATACGTTCTTCAGGGCTAGCTGGGCCAGTTTGGGCCCAGCCGGTGATCAGACCAGGTGAATGACGGCTCCTGAGGTAGATGTGAAGAGGGCCTTCTTGCAAGAAGGCCCAGGGAGCAGAAGACTGAGGGAAAGCTCTTTGACTCTGAACCATCCTCTCCTCTCACTTCAGGTACCCCGGCGAGAACCGACTGACGGTGGTCCATGCTGGCCCACCAACCCTCGGCAGTGGTAACGCCTTGCCCACCCACTCTGGGCTTATCAGCCCTCTTTCTCTTTCCACGGTGTATTCTGCCGCTCTTCTGCTGCGGACCAGGCGCTTCCCAGCAGTCTCAGGGCTCCTTCTTCCTCTGTCTCCCTACTCCAGGGACCTAAACGAAAGCAAATTTACCAGTAGGCGTCATTCCTTTAGCTCACACAAGCCTTCAAAGCACTCAACAGCACTCAACGTGGCCTCTTCCTGGAGCATCTTGCCACCTCTCTTTGAAATGTGTTGACATGCTTGTGTGTAGGCACGTCGTGGGGCCTGGTCATTCTCAGGCTCATGGTCTTCTGGATCAGTGCTCTGCAGTTCCAAACACCAACTGCCTCCACTTCCTTAAAAGTACGGAGAGAGAAAAAAGCCCCGGCTGATGCTGCCTTCGGTGTGATCTGGACCTCCCTTCCCCCAACACCGTATGGGGTGACACCCTTATACACCCTGCAATGCTAGGCTTAGCCCCAAACCCTCTTGCAGCTGACAGATGCCTTGAGTTACACCCTCAGGGTTCTCTCTCTCTCTCTCTCTCTCTCTCTCTCTCTCTCACACACACACACACACACACACACACACACACACACACACACAGGACTCCCTGATCTGTTTCTGTTCTGGAGCTAGCTACTGGAGAAGAGTTAGATAAGGAGTCAGAGGAACAACAGATCAAAAATCAGCGGTGTGAGTAGAACAATGAGAGAGAACGAGCCGGGGCACCGACTCCCTGGAGTCCCTTCTTGCCTCCCCTAGATAAAGATATCTGAACCCACTCCATCTCCTCAGTCACACCAGTGCCCCAGGGCCCACTTCCCAATCAGTCCCAGCAAAGCACCCTCGAGTCTCCAGACCCGCCACCCGGGGTCTCCTCCCCTCATACAGTGTCTCCAGTGAGAGCTAAGGGACAGACCCTTTCATGGCAATATAGCCAGTGAGACCTTGGAGCCAACGAAGAGCTCTGCCCTCAGGCTGCTGCAGCCAGCTCCCAGGCAGACCACTGGGAGGCTGTTTCTGCCAAGGTGAGGATGGGATTCTGACAGCAAGCTCCCTGACCTTGAGGAGTCCTTGAGGGGCTAGGAAGGCCTGCAAAGGGCTCTGCAGAAGACTAAGCCCTCTAACCTGATCCCTTGATCCCCAGAGGTCCAGGGCTGCAGGGAGCACACAGAGCTGATCCCTCTGAAAGGATGGTGTTCCCCAGGATTTGCCATGGGGAGCTTGGGGTGGTCCAGGGAGCCCTGCATCTCCGAGGAAGCTGCTGCTGGCCTGTGAAGTGGAAGTTTCTGGTTTCTCTGAAGACTCAGTTTTGTCACGTGATGTTTTGCTGCAAGCTGGGCGCGTGAGGTTTTCCTGGAGGCTGCTTGTGAGAGGGGACGTGCTGTTTTGCTGTGAGCTCTCTCGTGCAAGGGGCATGGCTTTGGCCAGCTGAACACCTCCATGGGTGGACTCTGGGGAGAGGAGACATATAGAGGCCCACAAGCAGTGAGGCTTCATTTTTTTTGGATCGACATCACTGCGCTAATCTTCGTGCTTTGACACTTGACTTCGCAAAAACATTCCAGAAAATTTCTTGAGGCAATCCAATTGAGTCTTGTGGCTTTTGCTGACGTCTGGTGCTGATTCTTGTTGCTGCTTGGTGTTGGCCTATGGACTGGATTGCTGGCGTCCTGACGAATGAGTTTGGTAATCCCCTAAAGATCCATCAACAATAATAAGCAGGAAGTAGGTAAAAGAGATCTACAGCCCTTTTCCCCCGTATTATCTCCTATCTAAGTTGGGGGGAGGTATGGAAGGAAGGTAAAGATGTTTAATAACTCTAAATAAAGTAGGTTTGGTGAAAAACCTAAGCCTACAGGCCTGGACTAGGGAACCCTCAAGGGGTCAAAAACTGGGCATCTTCCTTTTAGTCCCATGAGAAGAAATGAGGGTGGCCACTGAGAGCCAATTTTTATAAATGAATCCAACAGACAATTCCTGACCTTACCATGTGTCCAGCACTGGTATACTTTCTACCTGGGGAAGCAGGCCGTAAACAGGACAGGAGAGATGCTCCAATAGGCAGCAGCGGTTACTGAGGAAGCAGGAGGAACTGAGACCAGATCCCAGAACCCATGTAAAAAAAACAGGGTCTGGCCATGCCCTGGAGCCTCTAATGCAGTGGACATGCAGGGGATGTGGAGTATTTATTACCGGGGCTTGCTGGCCACCAGCTGAGCTTCAGATTCAACATGGGCAGAGAGTGACAGAGCAGGACATCTGATGTTCTTTCCTGGCCACAGCACCTGTGCACACATGCATGGGCGCCAAGGTCCACACATGTACACACACACACACACACACACACACACACACACACACACACACACGAGACACCAATAAACAGTCTTATGATGGAAATCACAATTGGAAGGTCTATCTTAGGGTTCTGGGTAGTTAGGGAGCTCATCTCTGAGAGGAGCTAAATTCTAAAGGAAATGACAAGAGTCAGCCCTGCAAAGGTCTAGGGCAAGAACACTTTTGAGTTCAGAAAATGATCGCTGAAAAAGCCGAGAGGTAAGCACGAACTTGGCCTCTGTGTGGCCAAGTTCAAGAGAGAAGGGCTATAGAGATTGGAGGGGGTAAAAGGAGAGTGGTGGGGAGCAGGTTATTGCCCAGCCATGGCAAGCTTAGTGAGGACCGGGTGAGAAGCTGGGCTTTGATTCTCTGTACGACGGGAGCCACTGGATCTGGTTTATGGTTGTAAAGATCTCCCTGCCTCCTGTGCAGAAAACAACATTGAAGGGAGAGCTGGAAAACAAGGGGCAGGTTCGGAAGTTGCCGTAAAATGGAGCTGGGGTGGGGCAGTCATTGAGCAGTGACGCCATTGTCTGAGGTGAATGGGGCAAGTCTGTCCCGGGGAAGAAGGGAAAGAGATGCTCTAAAAGGAAGTACTGGGATTTTGCCTGGACCACTTTGGTATGGATCGGCGGGCCATATTGTAGGGGAAGCTTAGGCGCTGTCAGCCCAGGATAGCAGCACTGAAGGACCTGGGTCGACGGGCCTGGTTCTGGAGAAGAGGGCCCTGGATGTCAATCTAGGAGCCTCTGGCCTATGAGTGCTGGTGTGTGAGGAGAGGTAGCGGCAGAGACCTCAACCCTAGTTTAGTCTAACCTATAAAACTGGCGGAGAAGGGACCCGAGGATGTTCTGAACCTCTGTCAACCTTCAGCTGGTACCAGCGAGTGTCCGAGGCCAGGCATTACTGATTAAGAAGAGGGAAGAGAACCAGGAAGTGGAGACCTTTATTATGTTCACTCCTGGACCTGTTAGAGGCGGGTGAACTGTAATACCTGTCAAACTAATGAACAAAAGATGTGAGTCTCATCACACAGCTGAGACGTAGATCCCTGATAATAGGGACTATAGATGCCAACTGGACAGGAAGGGAGAAAAGCCTGGGGAATGTCCACTGTCCACCTGCAGGTTTCCCCGTGTCTATGCCACTGTCAGGATGGTGTACAATAATGCAAAAGTAGGTAGAGGGCCAAATGGGCTTCCCATTGTAAAAAGAGGGTCAAGGCTAAGAAAATCAACACTATGAGAGACTGCCACCAGAGGGCACCCTGAGTACATGACGGGGACTCTGTCTTCCTGAACAATTTTCCTTTTTCTCTTCTGAGGGCCAAAGACCGTGAGGAACTGGAAACGCCAGGGAGCTGGGGTTAGGGGTTTGTCAGCTAAATGTACTAAGTAAATTATCCATATCTACAACTAGAAACTACTGAGGAAGACTTGACCGGAAATTGAGTTCATCAAGGTTACAAAAAAGTCCTGAGCCCTGACCTTGAACCCTCACTGTGGTCCATACTGAGTCCTGGTCCTTGATTAAAGAGTGAACTTGACCCTGATCACACTCTGAGCCCTGATCCTGTCTTGTCAGTATACAGAACCTGGTCTTTATTACCAAATTCTCTGATCCTGTTTTACAGACTAAACCCTGACCTTTATTACATATTGAACTGGGACTGAATTTTGATCATGAACAAACATTAGTGCTGTCTCTCTCTCTCTCTCTCTCTCTCTCTCTCTCTCTCTCTCTCTCTCTTTGTTGGTGGTGACTCTGGTCATAGGCCCCTGACACTCGACAATGGTTGAACTTTGCTCAAGTCACACTCAGTGTTGGTCACTAAACCTTGCTCTCCTGATATCCCATGGGCATGAAGATGTGCTAAGGCTCATCAGGTCTAGCTTCTTCCCTCAGGGGAAGCAATACCTAGAGCCACTTCTGCAGGGGACAAAAGGAATTCTAGGTCTCTGGGCTGCCCAGAATCTTCAGGTCCTTGGGTCTCTGACAGGGCAAGCAGAGAAAGCTGGGATATAAAGAAAGAAG